GATTTCTTATTGCTAGTGTATTAACTACACTACTTTTCGGGAGGTAAGGAAACTATTTCCGTTTTCTAGTGACCCTAAATCTATAAATTTATTATGTTCTATAGTAAAAGTTATGTAAATAAAGAAGACATACACCATTTTGATATGTTAGATTAATCCCAAAAATTAGTGTAGTTAAAAATGCTTCAAAATAAATGCCAATTCATTTAACCCTATAATAATAGTATATTTCATCACTAGGGTCTAAAGTGACTCCTTTTGACCAGAGCTCAAAGTTTTGAGATCGACGCGAAGCCGAGGTCGGAAAATGAGCGAGTGTTGAAAAGACACTTTTTGCACGTGTGATGAACTATATTTTTCGTCATATTGCACCATTATTTGAACAAACTATGATACAAAACTAAAATCGTTTTCATCCAAAACCCCTCTCAAAATTACTTTTACAATAACATGTTTTCCAAGCAGCTGTTTAGTAAGTGATTCGCATGGTTTCGCCTATACGATTGTAGTGTACATAATTCTATCGATATGTCGATTTATTTAACTCGACTATAAGACAAGGCATTTAACAATGGACTGCAATCTATTAAACAATCTATACATACTTCCGATGCATGCAATTGTTTACAAACGACATTTACAACTGAGTTGACAACAGCTAATTTTTACTCCCTAGGGACTGAAAACGGGGTTTCTAAACCTAGAGAGTAAAAATGCTACTTTAGACCCGCAACGCATGCATTGTAAACGGCTGTTTTTGCTGCAGTATGACGAAAAATAGTTATGCCTGGAAATATAAATCTTCAAAAACAAAAAGGCGTTTTTACAAATTAGTTTTTACAGTAATTTCCATTAGGTAATAATTTTTCTAACCTGACCGTTTCAACTAATTTAACAACTCGCGAACCCAAGTTTCTCACAGTCAGCTGTTAACAGAACTCTGTAGGGACCAATGTAATCAACAGGTGAAACCAATTATTACAACATCTACCCTCACTGAGTACACCCCTCGTTGTCAACCAGTGAATGAATCAATAATACAGCATTGGATTCAAACAAGCTTTGATGTTTATCATTATTTCAAAGATAGCTTATGAGGACTTTAGTTAGATAGTGTGTGCATATACGAAAGAAACATACATAGACATCAGCACATTCAATCAGTGGCTCAACATAATATGAGAATTAGAATGCCTACTTTTATCAACATCCACATAATAATAAGAATACACTCATTAAGAAACTAGAAAATATTTATACTCTATCAAAACCGATCAAAACATTGATACTCTCCATTATACTCTATTTCAAGCGTCAAGCGACAGTCAAAATTAACTAAGCGCCGTAATGAAACACTGAATTTCCAGCACGCGTACAATTGTGATCAACAATAGTACTTCAATTTGCGAAGTGGAATGCAGCGAAAGTGGATTGACCTTTTGTAATCTAAATTGAAGTGTCCATGAGAGGTAGAAATCTGCGAACCTCTCATCTCAGAGAGAGGAATGATGTTGAGAGGAAAGCCTCATATTATACGCACAACTCATCTCCCGTAATGTTGGATGGGAAAGTGTTACAATTGACAGATCAATTTGAGACCAACAGCAAACTGCCTCAACATTTGTTTATGCCTTTGGCCATACATAGAACTATACAAAGTAGACGTAGCCGGTTTGAGAATAAATATCAACGTTGTTGGATTGATGATTGTTTACATTATGATCAGCTGGATAATGTAAGTGCTGTTAAGTTTTTTAGCTGCAATGAAAACGTCTGCTACAAACATTTTACTGACAGTTGAAATGAAAAATTTACTATTTGAATTTGGGTTGGCGTAAATATTACAATGGAAAAAAGCGAGAAAGCCTGGGCAATTTGATACACTAAAAAGAAAACTGAAGGGTTGGCGTAAATATTACAATGGAAAAAAGCGAGAAAGCCTGGACAATTTGATACACTAAAAAGAAAACTGAATTAACACTGTACTGCACTTCTTGAGTAAGCATTGAAAGAGCAAATTTGTAAACTATGGAAATATAGGAAATTCATGGAACACCACCAAGGAGAAGAAATGGAAATAATGTTTTTATAGGATTTATAATCGTTATTATGGACAATCTAATGTGGCTATGAGTGGGGAAAATTTTGTAGAAATCACTAAAAACCAGCTTTTGAAAAATGATAAGGTACCTAGGTATTTAAAAGAAATGTTGATTTTATCGAAGTTTTTTGTACATCGTGAGTATTTCCATAATTGTTGAGTCGACTCTTTTAAGGTCGTCGGAAATTATTACTGTTATTTGTTTTAAAATAACGCCTGTACTTCGCAATTGCTCGAATTCGAGCAACAGGTACACTAGTGATTAATGAAACTGGTAACTATGTAACTAAACAGTGTAGTATGAGGTACTACAGTAGTTATACAGTATCTATGTATGTCACATCCCCGAGTGAATGCATTGTTGTCTCGACAACCCATCACTTGTACAATAGTTGGTCATAGTGATATTGTTACAATCTAATTATGCAGATATTTACAGTAATTTGTTATAATCCATTGTTTTATAGATTTTTTACTCAAACCTTGCACATTATATTAACATATGTAATAGTATAATTCTTAACAAGAGTATTAAGTGAGTCGTTACATTTTGAGGCCATGTTTGAAGTGCGAGATTTATCGAGCTCTTTAAATGGTCGAGAATATGTAAAGACCCACTTTCACTCGTGTTTTGAACGTTACTTTTCGCTACACTACAAAGACTAATTATTTTCTTAATTAAAACAGATATTGGATGTTTCTTCATTACAATTAGGAACATGACAAAACTCATAGCATTTTTAGGTTATGCATTATGCCTTCAATTAAAAATTAATATTTAAATTGGTTGTACAGTTTTGGTAGTTGAAAATTAAAATATTTGACAAAACAATAACAAATCTTTGTTTGTTTACGTCGGCAAAAAAAAAATAGTAAACATTACTTTCGCATAGTAAACATTCTTGTCAATTTTTTTTATAGTCAGAGATATTTGTCTTTTAATTGAGAGTATTGTTCCAACCGAGCAATCAATAATTGAAAATTTAAACTTAGCTGTTGGTTAAAAAAAAACACCACTATAACTTCGGATGCAAACAAATAACACAAACACATAGGACTAATTGTATATCGATGACAAATTCATAATGACCAGTTGAGTTTTCATGTATAGGCCTATACACTATACAGTATAAAACTAACAAAGAAATACCGATACAAATGTGTTCCGTATAAGCGTCACTGTTGTAAATCCAAATGCAACATAAGTAGACTTGACAACGTACACAGTTTTCTCATTCTCCAACTCGTATAAAAATTTGTATCCAAGGTTTTTTTTCGGGAAAACAATTTTATGAAAATTGGTTCAGGACACATTTCAATCATTATCCTATTGACAGTTTCAAATTCCTCTAAAACCACATACAACACTTCAACAACATAGATTGTGCAGCGTTGTCTAGCAGTCGAGTGGTTTACGCTTGCATTTAAATCTGAATGTTGTTGGTTTAAAACAAAGCAGAATATATTTTGGATCATGATTCCATTTCAAATTTGGCTAAACCAGAATATGCTAACCAGAAAATATGGTTGTTAGACACTAACAACCCAATTTGGTCTGGTTCGTTCTCGTAACGCATGTGCAAACGATTCCTATTGCGTTAAAACTCACAAAGAATTAATTAGATAAACCACATTTATGAAAACATTGACTTAAGATAAAGCATGATGTAGGAGAAGGATGAGAAGAAGGATTCAATTTACAAAATTCCTATTTCTTCTGTTTTGTACATACCGTACTTAAACAAGTTTTGGCAAATCGGTATAAGACAAACAGTTGCAATGAAATAATAATAAACTATCGATCTCATAAAATTATGAGCTATTTTAAGGTTTTAAAACCCAAATTCGTCAACTAATTCGTTACAAACTAATCATCGTTCATCGACTCGTTCAGCTTGTTTTTAGAACCTTCATCGCCTAAGGCACTCCTAAATGTTTGTTCCATATAAACAAAGTTTATTTTGAAACGATCCTTTGTCGCTTTTCCAAATCAATTAAAAGATTACGGAAAATTCGCTTTAATGTAAAACAAAAGTACGTTTGACAACGGCATGTTTGATATGCCGTGTTTATCATATTTTGTTAAAATCTATGAGGAGTACCGATGTCATCTATCATTTATTATCTTTCTTTATGGATCAGCATAAGAAAATTTTAAATTCCGTCATGTATATAAGTGAGCGTTTTTTTACTACTTTCTCATTGTTGTCTATCCAATTTTCAAAGTATCTAATACAACACAGCGATCTAATTCAGGCTTCACAAGACGGTGAGAAGTATATATATACTGCACTTGCACTAATCAAAGTCAATGGTAAAAGCTATTTTGTCACTTTATGTGGTGACACAACAGTGTACTTGTGATGTCAAATCAATATGGAGTCGAGACATTATTAATATACTCTTATTAGTTCTTTCTCTAAAAGAATGTAGGACTTGTTTATACATTTTTATAAGTCACATTTATAGTTAATGCTGAGTATCCTAACAGTGGCTCTGTTCGCCTTCGAATCAGAAGTTTGGTGGTTCGATACCAAGCAGAGCCGATGCAACTATTTGCACTGGTCTATCAATTGACGATGTTGTCTAACGAAATTTCGGAGTTAAATAGTAATAGGATTTGAACCGCTCCTTGTTGGCGACGTAACATACAATATAAGTCAAATTAATTATATTCAAAAAACATTTTATAGCGATTTTGAAAAGCTTTGATCAAATGACATGTCATTCCACACTCCAGTTTCCCGTAGGATGCTGACTTAGAAGTTTTCTCCCGTGGTGCGATGGATGAGGTGGAGGTCATCGAAGATTGTGCGCGTGTGTGTGCGTGCGGAGGTGAAAGTGACCAATCAGACAACGACGCGGTGGCCGCGTCAGAGCCGCGTGGCAGTCGCTTCTCTCAGTATTGCCGCGACGCCCGTGCTGTAAACATGTCCCGCTCTCTCTCGTTGTGTGTCGTCGTCGCGACGCTGGTCGTCGTGTTCGCCAAGGAACTCAAGATAGACAAGACGTTCGAGCCGGAGGTTTGCGACGTCAAGACCAAGAACGGAGACATGTTGACGATGCACTACACGGGCACGCTCCAGGACGGCACCAAGTTCGACTCCAGGTCAGTGAAAGTGGTTATGTTGTGTAATAGGACTTCCTGGTTGCTGAAAGTGGATTGTCAACAATGTGTGTGTCCACTATAGATGATCGAAATACTTTTTTCGGAGTTAGTAGCTTTTTTGGTCTCTAGCATATGGGATACTTGTAGATTGTTTACAATGAAGACACTTCTTTATTTAGAAGATTAGGACCTCAAGCAAGGTCCTTTCTTAACATCCTCTAAAAAGTAATCCTCTGTTGCCGATTACAATCTCCAATCCTAGATAAAATTACGTGTTTTATCATATGAACAATGTCACATGTCATATTAACAATATAGGTTGTAATAGAAAAAAATGTTGTGTATTTATCAAATTAAAACACGAAATTTTATCTAGGATCGGAGATTGTGTTAAGGTACAATATTAAAAGTTTATAACCTAAGCTCAAAATATACGTTGACAATGAGATTTAGGCGAGGAAAACAACATTTTTGGTGGTTCTAACAACATTGCCAAATAATCAGATTTTCGCCAGTTAGACCCTGAGAAAAGTCAATGGCTTTTAAGGTCAGTAGTTTTATTGTGTCCACGATGAATAATCAAAATGCCTTTCGTAGTTCGTAACTTCTCCTTACTCCGGGATATGGACAATTTAAAGTGTTTAGCCTAATAATAGGCCTAATGTTTAACAAAAATGTGAGTTTTGATTATGATTGACGTTTTTATTTTGTAAAGAACCAAAATAGCTTTAAATGGTTTGGAACTTTCCAACTTTCCTTGATCGGGTTTCTAACCAATTATATTAATACTATATTTTATTGTCCTGACAAAAGGAGCAGGTCATCTTAATCAGTAACAAAGCTAAAAAATGGCTTTCCATTAAACACTCATCTTGGATTCGTATGCAGTTTAAAATACGCATCTAGGTGGTAATGGTAATTTGACATTATCCACTCTATCCTTGTGATAGTTGATTGTTCCGTTTTATTGATGTGCTGTTAAATGTTATAAATAGTACTAATTACATTTCAAATGCCAAATATTACTTTATTACTTTTTGTTGATTGAGAAGGTCAGTGAAACGTGATGAAAAATATGCTTCCCTAATTTTTGTATAAATTGATAATAACGATATACAAACCACGACCAATTTAGCAAGGATATTCTTAGAATGAACAATTGATGCAAACCTAAGTAATGTAATCAAATTACTCTCAGATTATGACTAAGGCAAGGCTTAGTCACCTGTATCGCAAGTAAACTTATTCCAAGATAATTGAGTTTCAATATAAAGGTTTGTTGACTCTTAAACAGATAACAGTGTAAACGAATTTGTGTACAAGTGAACTTTGTAACCCTGACCTTGATAAGAAGTCTGAATTACTATCAACATCATTTGATCCTTGCATTAATTAGGTAGGCGAATTTTGAACGAGTACTCTAATATTTTGGGTATTAAAAAATCGTAAAATATGGGCGCCAAAGAAATGTTATAATTTACGCAAATGTGTTGGTTTAGATTGATTGTTATTTATTAAACCATAAATTAACATTTTAATAGCGTCTAGCTTCATTAGTTTCAGTTTTAAGCCGCAGTTTATGCTTTAAATCTTATCTACTTATTTCTGTAAAATATTATGTTGTATGCACAAATTTTGAGAGGCAATGTGAGAAAAAAGGCATTTAAAAATATAAAAAGTTATTTAAAGTAAATAAAATATAAATTACAAATCATTTACATTTGTTTTCAGTTTGTTCCAAAATTTATTCTTGTATACAAATTTTATTTGGTATTAACTCAGATACCAAAAATAGTAAACCTAACTAAATCCCTTACTAAACTTCCATACATTTTCCTAATATAAATTGAATAAATTTAGTAAAAAAGATTTTCCTGTTATAAATTTGGTAAAAAGTAATAACACTGTATAGATACCGTTACGGAAAATGCATTTTTAACGTCTTGGAACGGAACGATTACAATAGGTATTGTATTTTATTGCATGTTGCATGACACGATCTATTGCATAGTTGTGTTGATCAATAAAGAATCTGAATCTGTATAACTATATCTTGGATAAGAAAACTTATAATAAATTGTGTTCACTGTTAATTGACAACTGCAATATTAACTAATTTTTTTAACCTTCAAATGTGATTGTTCAAGAAACTGTCATAATTTTTTAATATAACTTCTATGATAAATGTTAGTGCAGTATAAAACTACTTCTTCAAATGTTTTACTAATTGGAAATCAGATGACCCACATAAAAAAATAAAGTATTTTAGTTTGATCTTTAATAATTTTTTAGGAAAAGCTTATAATTTGCCATAACATTAGTTGTTTCAAACAACCATATCAATCATATCATGTCTCACCAGAGGACGGGTTTATATTTCAGATCCGAAAACGACGTGAACTATTTGTGTTTTTACTAGTCGTGATGGAAAACTTCCGCAATAATCTTTTAATTAACAGCCAGCATCTTTAAATCGGCATGGAGGAATTGAACAAATTATAAAAAATATAAACATTTTAAACATAGATATGTCGGCCTAAGGAAAGTGCTGTGGTAAAAAAAACTCAGAACTACATTTATCGTTCGGAGGATTGGATGGATCCTACCTGACGTAGTAGGCCTATATTTTATCGAAACAATTCTATAAAATCTTCATTACCAAACTGTTATCGTCTTGTACAGTTACGGTACATTAAAGTTGATATGTATCAGGATCATAAATGTGTTTGCGTGTCTAATTTAATTTTTACTACTGTTTTATTTGATAAATTCTTCATCACTAGATTCTTATTGCATGGTTTTTTGGCAATATCACCTATATATAAAAAAAAATAGATACATGATTTATCAACATAGTTTGTTTACTTTTATTTTTTTGGACTGCTATTACAGTATTGGAAACAGTTCGGACTTCTTACTTAAGTGATGGAAGCTTTCAATTTAAATGGCAGTATTTAAACGATAAGAAATTAATTCAAGCAAAAGGAGCCAAATGACTATAGCCCAGTTTAAAGAAACCACCCCAAGGCTAAAGCTCTGAGATTATATTTAGTCTCCTTAGAATCTCGAAGGGAAATGCAAGCGGGTTTTATAGTTATTAAGTCCTCTTAGAACTTCTACCTATTGATACAACTTTATAATTAAAATTCGCTTATCGACTATTGGGTGGACTTAGGTGTCTAAAGAAGGTTGGTTGCAACCGATGAATCTTTCCACAAACTTGTTTTTAGAGTTTGAAACATTTTTTCATTCTCGTCTGGGTCTTTAAAAACCAGATTTGTCTATGTATTGTTTGATGTTGTATTTTCAAACCGTTAAGCCAACGTAGTAGGTACGTTGTCAATTGTAAAATCTTTATTCAAAAGTCTATATTTAATTTCTTAAACAGTTGTATAGAATCCTGACAAGACAAACAAAGAATTGGACTTTTATCCAATGAAATAAAAAAGTATTTTCTTTGTATTGCTGCATAGTCCCTTTTTTTTCACCGTTAAAAATTCCTATGCGCAATGGAGTTTTTGGAGTGTTTCGATTCCAGTAAGTTTATAGGGGCAATCTTTTATTAATCCAAATACTTGTTGATTGTTAAGTTGTTGTGCTTAAAACTACAAACGCAAAAAAGAGTCTAGCAAAAAACTCTACTTTCTTGGTTTATTTGTTGGATATTTGAGAAAACCACTTCCGTATTTTCGCCTATAACTCTGTAATTAACTAGTATATGTTATTACGATTCAGTTTTGTTTCAAATTACCAACGAAAAATTGAAGGCATAGTTCTATACACATTTTATTCGGACTTAAATTATACTTATTGTTTAAGAACTAGTCTTAAAAGCTATATAAGTGTCTCCATTGGATCTTGGCTTGAAAGCTATTGGGTCCAAGTGTTTAAATGCGACACACCGTGTTGTATACCAGTTCAGTATTCCTGCAGTGTTGCAGCCGACGCAAGATTTTGAATTATTCAGAATACCAGAAGGCCAATAACACCCACTTAGAACTACGCTTCCCAGACGTCGTTCTAAATGCGTGTAGATAAACGATTACGTTTGACATTAAACTGTAAATTGGTGTAAATCATCCAATTTAATTAAGATAGAGAGGCGTTTAACCCAAATATGAATAAAGGATTTAAGTTTGAGAAGTATTGTGTAGCTTAATGTCTTTAGGCTACTTATTAAAAGCTCAAGGATCAAAGGCAACTACAGTACTTCCAGTTATGAACCATCATAAAGATAATTGGTGTTTCTCAGGATTTAACTGGTGTCCTGCTGGTTGGTGAAGACTGTAAACACCCCAGCTATTCAGGTAACATGTATTGCAATGAAATATATTAATAAAGTATAACAATCCACGAAATCACAAATCTTCCTGGAGGAATGCTTAATTTTAAACTGTAGTTTCAATTTTTTCCCCACCAAGACTAATGTACGAATAATATGATAGGTTACGTACCTTTTTGAACACGAAGACTTCTGTCGGGTTTATTGGCCAATTTGATGTGGATTTAAAAATGGGTAACTGTACCCGAAACTAGTAACCCCAGACTAATTAAAGACTGAAGATGGACAAAAGGTACGTAATCATATTATTTAAACTGTAGGCCTAATAGTTTTGTCAATCAAATCGTAGACATGAAAGTGAATCACGAAATTGTGAATGTCGTAGCTCAAATCTTAGCTACGGTGATAAGGAGTTTGTTTTAAAACACAGGCAAAAATATAGTAAACCTAGTTATAGCGATGGTTTGAGCTAGGCCTCAAGTCTTTACGGTGTACTTACCAACCACTGACCTATGCAATTGTACTGTATCTAGCCCCTAATTAATTATCTGTGGATTGTAGCCTGTTTTATTTTACAAACACTCACAATATAGGATCCTAGCTCGGCTTTTACAAACACGATGTAGGAGAATCGGCTGCCAAGATTTCCCTCGTAAAAGTGAGTGTGTGAGGGAAGAGTTTGCTTATTACACAAGTTTGGCTCCCAGGGGACGTCCCT